CTTTCTTTCTTTTTCTTTTCTTTCTTTCTTTCTTTCTTTCTTTCTTTCTTTCTTTCTTTCTTTCTTTCTTTCTTTCTTTCTTTCTTTCTTCCTTCCTTCCTTCCTTCCTTCCTTTCTTTACGTAGATTACAATTTGTCTATAAATCTGTGGCGACAGTATCTGAGTTGACCATTCTGACCCTGATCCATTCTGCATTTACTATAGGACTACAGGAGAAAAGGGAGTTTTTGTTTTTTGCTTGTTTGTTTGTTTGTTTTCTTAAAACTTCTACACTCCTGCTAATATGCTGAAAGGACTCTTCCTTCCTTCCTTCCTTCCTTCCTTCCTTCCTTCCTTGCTTTCTTGCTTGCTTTCTTGCTTGCTTTCTTGCTTTCTTTCTTGCTTTCTTTCTTGCTTTCTTTCTTGCTTTCTTGCTTTCTTTCTTGCTTTCTTTCTTGCTTTCTCTCAAACGTTCCTGAAAACCTGTCAAAAAACACCCAGGTGTATTTGGGGCCAAAATGAGAAATTTGAATTCAAGCATCAAGAGAACCAGTTTCTCTTTCCTTCATGGGCAGGTGTGCCAAGACATCCTTGGGCTTACCTGGAATAAGCACCAAAGATCAGTTTTTTGTTGATGATGAGTTGTCAAATGATTTACAAGAGCTGTGCCTCAAACAGCTGGGGAAAGAGGGACACAAATGATTCAATACCTCCTCACTGAGCTCCAGCCAAGCAGGAAGTTGTAAAAGTTGTTTGAGATAATATATTTTAAAAGTCTTCATTAGTAATACATCATAAAATGGTAGACATAGAATTTATTTTAGGCCCAACCCCTGCAACCGATCCTGCTCCTGCTGAGAACGTTAGCTACAGAGCTCGCTCTCTAGCAAGTTTGAAATTCAGCTGATTAGTATGTCCAGACTGAGGGGACTATTTGGTGTGAAAACGTGCACAGTGACTTCTTTGAAGAGTATCCCCAGGGTTATGTGCACCCTTATCTTGTACATTATTTGCTTCAAGTGGATGGTTTCTTTGTTTCCACATTGGATGCACTTTCTTACAATCTCTTTTGCTTTCATTATGTTGGTAAATAAGATCATTAAAGCATGTTGCTGTTATTCTTTGCATGCAAACATCTCCACGCCACTGTCTCTTCTGAACAAAAGCTCAAGCTTATTTCTGGGCTAATTCATGTTCTTCTTTTGGGGGTTGCAGGTTGCAGTCGGGACTCTGAAACATAATGATGGTTTTCAGAAAGGTAAGTCATGTTCTTTGCTGTGATTTAGTGATTAGCCTCAGGCCCAAAGACAAGAAAAAGGATCGTAACATGGTTCAGCTCATAAAGAAAAACATCAGTAACCCAATATCAACAAGGTACCAAATAACATGCACCAAGTTGCAGAGATGTCATGCCTACTTTGGGCCAGCCTTGCCTTGCTCACGCTGTGCTGGTGACCTGGACCTCAAGGGGTGTCACTGAAGCCGCACAGATTGCCCGTGGAGTCTCACTCCGTGCAAAGTGGGGCTCTCTCACCTGTGACATCCTCCATAACTGAGCCACTTTATAACCATCAAAGATAAGACCAACAGCTACTGGGTTTACATGCTAGCCATTATAATAAAACTTTTTGTTTGTACTTGGGTTAGTGCCTGAAGCAAGAGAAATTCTGAAGAGCTTCGACTCAGTATTTCCAGGACAGTAGCAGAGGCCACACCAAGTCTGCATGAAAACAGCGATGAGCAGCGTTAGCTCACACCTCCCCTCAGTGACAGAGCAGTTCTGCCTGCTTGTTTGCTCTGTAGGCAGGATCTTGCCTGGCTGTTTGCTTCTTTGTCAAGAGAGGAGTTGGCCTAAATAAGGAATAAGGTTTTGTTGCCTTAGAGAGATCACGGAGGCTCTCCTATTTCCAATGATATGAGTGACAGCAGAGAAAATATCTATCTAAAACTACTTCAGTAGAACCTCTACATTTCCAAGGATCTTACCTATCCGTCTTTTTGTTTGTTTGTTTTGGTTTGTCTGGCTATGTCTTTGTTTCCAAGTATCTTTCTGTATGAATACTGTAGCTTATATGAGGCTGTCAAAGCACTTCATAAGCATCCCCTATTCCCTCCTGCAATCTCCGGGAGGCAGTGGAGCTGCGCAACCACGGGCCTTTGTGCAAGTGTTGTGTCATTTCCTCCTGTAAAACAGCTGGGCTTCATGACATGTCCAAAGTCACGTACCAGGTTGGCTGTGGAGCTGGAAATAGAACCCAGAGGTCCTGATACTCTAACCATTATATTGTACTGCTTTAAGTGTAAGAACTTGTCTGGTTAAAAACACTGCAGAAGAAATCAAAAATGAAACCAAGAGATGTATGGCTGTGAGCTATATGGCCTCAAGTGTGTCACTGTACTTGACAGTTTTTCTTCTCTCCAGGGCGATCATGTGTGGCTGGAAACTCAGTCAAGCAGTGAATTTAATGTCCCTATTGGGGCAGTTGTGAAGGACTCTGACTCAGGACGGATCTTGCTGGAGGATGACGAAGGCAAGGTGAGCTATGCTATAACTTCTGTAAGGTCCTAACATTTAAAAGTTTTGTAACAAAGAATGGTCATACTGTGTCAGAGACAAGCTCCAACTAACCAAGTTATCCTCTCCCATGGGGAGCAGAATATTAATTCCTACAGCTCAGCCAGCTCTGACTTACAGAGCATGCTGGTTTCAGCGCGACTTACAGTCAAGTTCTTTACAGTCTAACATGCCTTTCTGCTTTGTTTGCTTCTGAAAGAAATAAACCTCCTCAAAACTGCTGCCTTGCCTTTTCCAGGAGCACTGGATCACAGCAAGGAACATGCACATGGTGCGCCCAATGCACCCCTCCTCTGTCCAAGGGGTGGAGGACATGATCCGCCTTGGGGACCTCCACGAGGCAGGCATGGTGCACAACCTCCTCATCCGCCACCAGGAGCACAAGATCTATGTGAGTACCAACGGCCAGGGCACAGCCCTGCCAGAAATGACCGCTACTACACATCCAGCTGGTGACCTGAACAGCAGCCTACAGTCCTCCTCTCGTACCTGGTGACATCTGCTTCCTTTCCTGACTGAGGATGCTAATGAGTCTCAACATAGTTTTGGTCTTTGTTCATCCTAGGACTTTGACTGCAAACAAGAGAGCTGAGAGTAGCCCCTGAGAGCACTGAACTGCACAGGGAGTGATCCCACTTACTTTCTCCTAGAGTGATCATTTCCACTGGTGACTGCCAGTTAGCTAGATGTGCAGTCCATGTCACAGCTTAGTGCTAGAGGGTACATGCTGGTATTACTTGCAGCTGTGATATGTTATTCGCCTAAATAGTAGACAGTGACATGATTTGGATTGTCATCCATTCAAAGTCAATGTGTGCTTGATTTTGATGTGATAAAGGAAATCAAGAAAAAAGCTGGAGATTTAAAAAAGCGGCTTAACATAATGCTACAAAACAGCACATGATAAAGACAAATGGACTTTTGCATGTTTTAGCTTGAGGCAGTGAGAGGAATTGTGATTTTGCCAGGCAGTTATGGTTAGTGTTTTTCCTTTTGCAAAAAATTCCATGTCCCAACACACTTAATAACAATTCCTAGCAATGACCCCAGCCCTTAGCCTTGCCTAAATGCTGCTGTGCATCTCCCAGATTGTACTGATCTCCCTTGGTTGTATTTTTGTTTGCAGTTCTGCTGCCAGAGGTAACTCTCATGCCTGTTTTCTAGACTTACACAGGGTCCATCTTGGTAGCAGTGAATCCATACCAGCTGCTGCCCCTCTACACAGTCGATCAGATCCAGCTGTACTGCAACAAGAGGATTGGAGAGCTGCCACCTCATGTCTTCGCCATTGCAGACAACTGCTATTTCAATATGAAGAGGAATAAGAAAGACCAGTGCTGTGTGATCAGGTGACTGGCCTCAGAGGAGATAAGTGGCAGAAAACAGCAAATCTGGCATGTTTTTGGAGCACTTCTGTGGACAAAGGAGACCTTCCAAAGGGAAATGCACAGATAAGGCTAGAGATAACAAGGAGGAAATGTTTTCTTCCTGCTACTTTATTTTCTGTTAAGGTTCAAAAAGCAGAAAATAAGCAAGGGATTTCCAGAGTCCATCGTTTGCCCCCAGACACCTTGAACATTCTGCACAGAACCACTTCATTTAGAAAATAGAATATGACCCTGAGTGATGCAGGACAACTTTTTAGAATGTGGTACTTGTATTACATATATTTTATGGAAAAAGAGACCACCTGGAGAAATTTAGCTTTTTCTCATCTGAAGATGACAGAGACTTTCTTTATCCTATAAAAATTTACCACATATCCATTTTCTGTTAATCATCAGTGTGAGGAATCAGATTGTTTCATTGCAATAATATCTAACATAGCTGAGGCAACTCAGAAGTAGTAAAAAAATGGTAATGCAATAAAGAAAAAATGCACTTGGTCATTTAATTTGCACCAATACAGAAAACCTTCCATGGGTTTGCTCATTTCTAATCAGTGGGAGAATTTATTTCTCAACCTAAATCTAATCTAAAAACATCTAAAAAATACTTCACTTTTAGTACATAAGATAGTGAAAGCTAAAATTCTCTAGTCCTTCATGAAAGATAGTCTGATCTGCCATTCATAGGGTAAATTAAGTGGCATAGTTTTACCCTGGTTTGCTGTTTTGCCACCCTCACTGAAAAGAAGAAAGAAAGCCTCTAATGTGTCTTGTTTCTTACTGCAGTGGAGAATCTGGAGCTGGAAAAACCGAAAGCACAAAGTTAATATTACAGTTTTTGGCAGCTATCAGTGGGCAGCATTCCTGGATAGAGCAGCAAATTCTAGAGGCCAACCCCATTCTGGAAGGTGAGTTATTCAGCAAAAATATCTGACTTACCACTCTTATTTCCAGACTTTTATATCAGCATAAAAAGTCAGGAACAGGCTCTAGATGCACTTGATTTGCTAACATTCCTGAAGCATCAGCAGGGCAGGAGTTCTTCAGAACTTTCTACCACATCCCACAGGTTCACAGCAGCTCCCGCGCTGCCGCAGTGCATAACCCAGAACTGCAGGAGCACAAGAGCCCTTTTGGGAATGTGGAGTCCTTCTGGAAAACCTCCATGGCTGGCATTTGCACCAGCCAGTGACAAAGTGACTGGCCAAGCAAGGCTGTAATTGTAGGGGAGCTCCCTGACACATCCCCCTTGTTCTGCAGCAGGTCAAGTGGGCGCCAAAAAAGTCCTTATGAAGGGCCTCAGAGTTGCCTGGTTCTCTTGGCTGGCTAGATATAGGGTACATTTGGGTTGTCTGTCCGATTAGCCAGATACACAGTATGCCTGTCCTTTCTTCAGGAGGCAGCCTGAGACCAGATGTTCTCAGTGCACTGTTATTTGGAGCACAACATGTGAAATACCAGCAGGAAAAAAGAAAAAAATCCTGATGTTCATTAACTACAATAATCTGTACCCATCAGCTTTTGGAAATGCCAAGACAATTCGGAATGACAATTCCAGCCGCTTTGGGAAATACATTGATATCCACTTCAACCAAAATGGTGTGATAGAAGGAGCCCGAATAGAACAGTTTCTTCTGGAGAAGTCCCGGGTTTGCCGGCAGGTAACGGCAGCTGCAGAAGCCCCTTCTACCTGTCCCTGTGTCATGAACCTGTGTCCACAAGTGTGTCCATTGGCCTCCTTTCTAGGCTCGAGAGGAGAGGAACTATCATATCTTCTACTGCATGCTCATGGGCATGAATATGGAGCAGAAGAAGATGTTGAATTTGGGCACTGCTTCAGAGTACACTTATCTCACTATGGTAAAACTCTGCTGTCTTCTTTGTTACCCATCTGCCATTTGCTTCTCCCAGCAAGGAAGTCCAGTGAATAGAGCTACAGATGGGTAGTTGTCAAAAATTAATTGTTCCTTCCCTAAGGCACTGGAAGCAGCAACACCAAAAGTGGTGTGAACCTCAGTGAAGCTGTAGCAGCTTGTGGCAGTTCAAAGCTTTCTATCAAAGTCAGCCTAAAGAAAGATCAAGGGCGTCTTGAAGCAGGTGGCAAATATCCCTGCCTTCACAGGGACTCAGGTTTTTGATGAATTCAAGGGAGAGTAAGCAAATGAATAAGCAAATGCGAAGTGTTCATAGCAGAAACAGTGAAAAGAATCTTAGTGCTTATATCTGATAAATTTTATATACATAATGCAGGAAGGTGGCATTTAATTTCACCTCCAGCAGCAGTAAATGTTCCAGTCTGAGTTTATGTTGCTGTAGTGGCAGGAATGGGATATAGGTGAGATTTTTGTTCGGATCAGCAGTCAGCAAAAGTAGCTGTTCTCCATGCTGTAAACAGAAACATCTAGGAATGGCTCGTGTCTGTAATCACCACACCCTTTCACTGCTGCTAACAGGGGTAGAAAAGACTTTTCCCCATCTCCATTAGGGTTGAAAATGGTTCATATGAGGAACAGCATCTGCTGTGCAGGCTTTGCTGAAGTTTTTCCTGATGTTTTGGATGCTTCTGTCTGTCTTCCACTCAATCTTAACGTTCCCTCCTCTGAGTTGCTCTTTACCATCGCACAGGGCGACTGCACGTCCTGCGACGGCCGGAGTGACGCCAAGGAGTACGCGCACATCCGCTCCGCCATGAAGATCCTCATGTTCTCAGACTCGGAGCACTGGGACATCAGCAAACTGCTGGCTGCTATTCTGCATCTGGGGAACGTGGAGTTTGAAGGTAGACTTGGCATAATCTCTGCTTGGCCCTTCCTCAGCCTTGACGTTAAAAGCCTAGAGGTGCTGCCTTCTTCCCTTGTGCAGCTGGGTTGTGCCTTCTGGCCCTGTGGAACTGGGTGGTGGGCAGAGTTGCAAGGGCAGGCAGATAAGCACCCTACAGTTCTGATTTGTAACTCCTCTGGCTGCTGTTTTGAAAGACATCACCTTATTATTTTATCTTGCTGCCAGGTTGCCATGGTTATAAATAGGCCCTTATCACACAAACTGAAACACTAGATAATATAATGCCATGTTAATGTTTGGTGGTGGTAGCTGCAGGACAGGAGCAGCTGAGTCATGCGTGCAGTGGAGATGAGAGCAGCCATTCTCCTGGCTGGGTTTCATCAACACTCACCTAGCACAAATGTGCTCCTGCTATGGCACCAGCCTGGCCTGATTCACCCACCAGAAACTCTGGCATTTTAGAAAGGGACTTTTTTTCTCCCTTTGTGTTACAGGGATCCAATCAGTGATGCCAGCTGCATTTTGTAAAGGTGGCTGCTAAAATGTGGGATTTCTTTTATGCAGGAAAGAATTTTTATGCTTTTTTTTTCTAAAATTCCCGCAAGCCAGATGCTAAGAAAAAATTGTTTTCAGAAACGCATGTTCTGAAGTCAGATACTTCCCCAAGCCCCCAGTGGCTGCAGTTTTAAGTAATGCGCTTGTGAGTTTTGCTGCCTCCAGGGCTGTCGTATTTCTGAGGCCAGGGCAAGAACCCTCCTTAGTAAAATTCTCAAACTTGGGAGTTGTGTTAGGAAACTTATGACTCACCACATTCACAGAGCTACAGGATTACAGAAATACAGCTGCAGTAACAGCATAGCAGAAATGATTCACCCTGAGCTTGGCTGTCTCCTCATTCTAGCGGCAGTGTACGATAACTTGGACTGCTCCGATGTCATGGACTCACCACACTTTTCGATTGCAACCAAATTGCTTGAGGTAACTCTCATCTTTCTCTAGTTCTCTTCTTCGCCCTCGCTCCCTGATTGCTTTGACCAGAACGTCTCTGTGGAGCATTTGGTTATGTATGGATGCACGTGGAACGGGCATGTTCCCTTCTTCCTGCTGATGCTCAAGTGTTGGTGTTGCACATGTCTCTCTGAGCCAGGAGATCTTTCTGGGAGAACAGGCCTCCCCTGAATCCTGCTGGACAGGCCGCTTGTGTCCACTGCCTGCAGAGCCCTCTTCCTCAGACAGGCTTTCTTTGCTGATTCTCCTGTATCCGTCACACTTAGAATGAGCAGGGTGCCATGACTCTTCCTCCAGGTAGACTCCAGTGAACTCCAGAACAGCCTTACAAGCCACTCCATCATCATCCGAGGAGAAAGCGTGTCCAGGCCCCTGAGCATAGTTCAAGCCGCGGATGGAAGGGACGCCTTCGTGAAGGTACTGGTGCTAACACCCCCCCTGTTTAAAAATAGGATGTGTTTTCAGAGCCATCTCTCTTAATGGTTCAAGCACCTGATGTGGCACACATACAGCCATGGGACTCTGGTCTCTGCGAGCTTCCAGGCATAGTTTGACTCCACTGTGGCAGCACAATAACAAGCAGTAGGATATGTCCAAGACTGTAATGATGGGCTATCACTTCCTCTTAATTTTTCCCCAGGGTATATACGGAAGGATTTTCCTGTGGATAGTGAACAAGATCAACTCAGCTATTTTCAACCCAACTTCTCAGAACCCTAAAAAAACACGACATTCCATTGGGCTGTTGGACATCTTTGGGTTTGAAAACTTTGACAACAACAGGTAGGAGGCTCCAGACTCCTTTCTGCCGAGGAGCTGAAAAGCAGCTGATAACAAAGGAAAAGAATGAAAGAACAAATAGAAGAGTGTTCTTTCATTACCATCCTGATTCTCAGAGAAGTGGTAAAATTTCCATTCCTCAATTTTCCCTGTGCCAATCTTGCATGGATGCATGGTCATACTTCCCACTTCTCTGCCAGCCTTCATTACGCAGCCATTGCACAGGTTGAAGTAATGGCTATGCAGCTGCAGAAAGGGAGGTAGCCCTTATGTGCGCGGATGCTGTATGTTCCCATGTCCCTGTGCCTAACTTCCATGTTCCACGGCATTTTTACAATGTTTCCTGGGATATGTTTTGTACACAGCACGAAGGAGGCTGTGGGGAGTTTCCTGTTTCCATCTTGCTCAGTGTTCTCATGCCCCTTTCTTTGCACTGCTTCATTTCCCTAGTATTAAGGACAAGTTTTCAAAGCACGTGGCTGCTGTACCACTGTCTCACTGCTACCTCTGCCGCTGCTGCCTTCTGTCTCAAGGTGTCGTTTCTGTTTGCCCTTCTCCACTGGAGCAGCATTTTTTTCACTGGACTGCAGCTAAGCATGCTAATGTCAGTGGAATATCAGATAAATGGCTGTGCCAAATAAAGTTATTATTATTGCTTTTGCTCTGTTTCCTTCTACCTTTGTCATCTGTCCTTGATATGCAACCTAAAATGTTCCACTTTTTTCACTCTCTTTTCCATTCTTCACTGAGATCTTTTTTTCCAGTCCATTTCAGCCTGTGCATCTAGCCTGCTCTCAGCAAGATAATATCCCCCACTGAGTTTTGGAGCTGTTCAAACCATCTTCTATCTGTCCTGTCCTTTTCTATTACTTGGTATTGTTCCCAAAGGCTGCAACCCAAATGAAGCCTCTCTGTGGTAAGCCAGCACAGGCACACACAGCATGCCACCAAATTACCTAGTAATTAAGCTCAGAGGCAGCATCCAGGACTAACTGCCAAAAGAAGCCCTAGAGCCCATGCAGGTAGGAATGGGTCACATAGTCATATTGTCATTTATGGTAGTTCCACATTCAGATGTTCCCCATTATCTATAGAGTTTCTGGAAACATATATTGCATTTTTCACTGCTTACCCAGCAATGCTCTGTCCTCATCTGGCTCATTCCTGGTCATAATGATCATAGCAAAGACCAGTTGTGTTCCTTATGTAGATAGGGTTGACGACATGCAGTGGTGGTACCAGTGTAGAATATATGACTAGTAGATCCGTATACGCATTTAATACAGAGATTAAACAAATACCACAGAGCAGCGCAGCACTTGCCAAAGTAGAGATGACCATGTGTCTCCATGTTGTCCGCCTGCAGCTTCGAGCAGCTCTGCATTAACATTGCCAATGAACACCTTCAGCAGTTCTTCGTGCGCCACGTCTTCAAGCTGGAGCAAGAGGAATACCTTGCGGAGCACATCTCCTGGAATAACATTGACTTCACTGATAACCACCAGGCTCTGGAAATCATTGCGCTCAAGCCCATGAACATCATCTCCCTCATTGATGAAGAGAGCAAGTTCCCAAAGGTGAGTATTTGACTTTGCACACCGAAAGGTGCAAAGGAGGCTTGCTGAGAGCCCGTGTCTTCTCCCCACAGACGTCCCTTTTAAATTAGCTTGCTCCGTAGGTGCTTCGTTCTTTGCCTGCGTGTGCTGTTCCTGGTACCTGGCTGTCAAAACTCTTCTGTTGCTCCAGACAGAGAAGGCAAGAGTCCTGATCATTTATAGTGGCTCTTCAGGAAATATTTGGATGCACATGCTGTCTGGGTATTGTTCTGTTTTTGGTTTGGGCTGTAACTTGCTCTTTCCCCTGGGTGACAGACTTGCTTGATTATTGTGAGCACTGTGAAGAAATGCTATTCTGCAAAGGCCACTTCTCTCAAACAGGACACCAAAAGTTCTTAACACAGCTGGTAATGGTAGTAATATTATGGGGACTTGTCTGTGAACACCACTTCCATTTGTTCACAGAGTTGGGACCAGAGCTGTCAGGAGGAATCTGCTTTATTGTCCTTTTCTGCCTGTGTTTATTCCTAGGGCACAGATGCCACCATGCTTGTCAAAATCAATTCCCTGCATGGCAAAAGCAACGTATACATCCCACCCAGGAGTGTCCATGACACCAAGTTTGGCATCAACCACTTTGCTGGGGTTGTCTTTTATCAGTCAAAAGGTGAGCCTGTCTCTCCTGGATTTGGAGGGTGGAGATAAGGGCACGGCTTGCTGTGGATGTGTGACACTGGGCAGTGTTGCTCCCTGGCCTCTCATTATGAGAGTACATAACCTCCAGATATGCTTTTCTGAAGCCAGGAAGATTGCTTTAATCTGCAAGTTACTGCAGATGAGGTGGATTTCAGACAGAGTTGGCCTAAAGCCAGCAGGCTACAGGGACAGCAAGCTGATTTTGTTTCTGTCTTACAGATTTCCTGGAGAAAAATCGGGACACACTGAGTGCTAATGTAATGCAGGTGGTCCATTCTTCCAAAAACAAATTCCTGAGACAGATTTTCCAGGTAGAAACGACCCCACCTACTCTCGGCCGTGGGACCATTCGGCGTCTTGGAGGTGACCAGTCCTACAAGGTTGGCTTATTGGCAGTAGACTGAAAAAACAACCACTCTCTCCTCTCTTCCATAAGGCTCTGTCCGCTCTTGTCCTCTTTGTTTTGCACTGTCTCTGCAAATCTCTGTTTCAGTCAACTTGTTTCTGCAAGGGAGTCTGCAAGAGCAGCCAGTGTCTGTCATTCATGCTGTAGACAAGCACAATGTCAGCCGGTCTCCTGGGTAACAACAGCTAGAAGAAACTGTGTCCCTGGACAGCTGTATGGCCGCGCCTGCCACCTCTCACAAATGCAGGATTTGTGCTACCTCCCCACACACCACCAGCACATGGATGGGTTTTCTGGGTGTCCTCCTGGGCATCCCTACTGCACCCCACAGCTGGGAGGGCGGTAAATGAGTAGGAGGAAATCACAGTCCGGAGGGTCCGTCTGAAGCAGCTGGAGCCTCCGGAGCAAGGCAGTGCCCGTGCGAAGGCAGCAGCCAAGTGCTGCCCTGCTGCGCTTCCGCGGCTGTAACGCAGAGCAGGCCGGCACGGCCGCTCCGGGAGGCTCCCGGCTCCGTGGCACAGGGAGCTGCCCGGCCTCCTGCCCCAGGGGCACCTGCCTCCCTGCCCTGCACACTGCTGCAACCTCAGCTCCTTCTCCTGGCGCAGAGGTCTTATGAAAAAGTTCAGCACTGCTAATTACAGCAGAAACGTCTGTGCTCTAGGGACCTCGTACTGCACCCGCTGAAAGAGCTGTAAAGTGCAGCACCCTGGGAAGAGCATGGGCAGAGTTCAAGTTCTCTGCTCTGCTGCAGCTTTCCTGTATCTTGATTTCTGACCATTTAACTATGCAGTGTCAGCACTGCATGAAGGTATCTTTGCTTTTAATGTGTATATCTCTCTGTTTACCTCTCAGAGCATAGGGCAAATAGTCATTTTGCTATAATACCTTTCATTTGCCTACTCTCCTGGCTCTGTTTTCTGATCCTGTTCTTTCTTCTTCAGTCTTTAACCCAGTGTGGCTTTCTGCTGTCTAGAACATCTGGCCATGGACAGGTAAATAACCTGGGGGAGAAGAAAGTTAGAAAAGGAACAAGTAGCAAAAGAGAATGGACTTAGCATCTCTTAAATGCCATGAATACTTTGAGATTAAATATCAGCTCTATCTACATTGCTGTAATGCTTTAATGGCTTTCATCTCCTTAAAGAAGATGATTGTGTTACTGGAAAAAAAATAACTTTCCTTAGGAAGACATTTAGAAAATACAGTAGTATGTCAAGAAAGGATTTATTAAATTCAGGGCAGCAGGGGCTGTTACCTGTTTCAAAATGCAGAGACATCAGCTGAAAGGCCCTTAATAATTTCAGATAGGTTGGGCCCTCGTTGGGAAGTCTACAGAGGAGAGCAGTGGATGAAGTGCTGGAAGGAGCTTTGCTATTTTGAGGTCTCACAGTTGCTCTCCTCAGTCACCAGCCATGGGAGAAAATTTACCAGCACCCAGGCAACAAGTTTAACCCTGGCTTATCTAAAGGTGGTCTGGGAGAGCACAGGGCATGGGCTGCAGCCCTCTCTGGCCATCCCACTGACACACCGCTACAGCAGAAAGGCCTCTGAGATCTGGGACTGTAAATTGCCTTAACTCTCTTACAGCAAGTATGCATTTGACTTTAAAGCTACTTCAAACAAACGCTTGGTACACCTAAGATATATCAGAGATGCTAGGAGACATTGTCAGGGACAGTTTTCCAATGGCGCGAGTGCTTTGTCGCTGGAGGGCAGCATTACTCTGTAGCTAAAGCAGAAGGTGGCAACTTGAGTGTTTAAAATGGCACTTTAAACCTAAGAGCCAGCACAGTGAGGTACTATGAGGACTGTAAGAGAGGGCGGCCACTGAGTTTAAGTGGTTTACTTATTTCAAAAAAAAAAGAGGAAAAGAGGAGAGGAGAGAGGAGAGGAGGGGAGGGGAGGGGAGGGGAGGGGAGGGGAGGGTGAGGAGAGGAGGGGAGGGAGGGGAGAGGAGGAGAGGAGAGGAGAGGAGAGACCTTTATACTCACCTCTATAGTGCTGCAGTTATTACCTGGAGGCTTATAAATAGCCATATGAAAAAGACCAGGGGAGTCTTTACCTGTTACTAAGACCATGCACTGTTTTCACTGTAATTTAGTGTGCCCTAAAAACATACTGTGAGGCAGAACTGAAGGCCTGTTGCAGTGATGTATGTGAAAAGGACAGAGGTGGAAGCTTTCAGGGAAGCTGCAGGAAGCCAGTGTGAAATGCAGCCCCTGCTGTCCCTCCGGGGTTGCACTGTTGCAGCTGGGAGCAGAATGCAGCGCGGGAGCTGTGAGCACAGAGCACCACATCTGCTGCCCTGTCCAGAGGGGTTTATAGCTCAGCCACCAGTAACTGCCTCCTCAGCACTTACTGCACAACGGGCAAGGAGCCCAGTCATCCTCATCATTAAGGAGCTCTCTGGATCCTTAGCAGTCCCAGTTAGTCCTGAGCTACAATCAAAATGTCTGGCCTGGAGGCTATTACTGCACTAGGAGCAGTTGCCCATCAAGTTTGCAGGCTGTGAACAACAGTTTGGCATCCCGACCCTGCGCAAAACACAGCCGTGGTTGGGAGAGACAGAGCTCTGTGGGCAAATTTCCTTTCATCACAGTTCCTTCTCAAGGAGCTCATTAGGTTATTGGCAAGAATAATCCCAAATAAGACACAGATGGCAGATTTAGGTGCCATGCAGGTAACTAACTTTTTCTGACATAGTTCAAAAATACAAAGACGTATTAATTTGCTCCCAACAGTGAATTATGTAGCAGTCAGCACCTGCTTTTTCTTCCCAGGGCTCGGATACCACCAAGCGACTCTCTACTCTGGGGGGACAGTTCAAGCAATCCTTGGAAAAGCTGATGAAAATCCTTGGTCAGTGTCAGCCATACTTCATCCGCTGCATCAAACCAAATGACTTCAAGAAACCACTGGTAATGTTTAACAATACAAGGTCTTGTCTTCAGTAGACTTCTTAATGAGAAAAAGCTGTGGGCTGCTGTGTAGCATTTGATACTTGCACCTCAGCCAAGCTCTGGAGTAGGAGCTATCCTGCCATAGAAAGGGCAGTAGGATTCAGCAATATTAATTTATAAAAACATCTCTAAAAGCATCACTAAGTAATAGACAGTAAGAAAAAGCACATAAGTCTATTCCCGAAGGAGCTGTAAAAGTCATCCCTGTTCTGAAAAAAAAAAGAAAAAAGAGAAGATTTTTCTAGACTCCTATGAAGGAGACAAAGGAAGAAACAAATAAAGATCCCACACTGGCCATATGATGCAGCAGTCTCACACAGGAGTGCTGTCGGTGTTTGAAAGAGGAGCGATGTGGCTTGAGCCCACACTACAGAAGAGGAGCAAGCTCCTCAGTAAGATGCTGGGCTAGAACTCGGGAGATCGTGACCTAGTTCTACACAAAAGGCTCAGCTGATGTTGGTCCAGTGAGTTAATCTGTCTCAAAGTAATGCATGTGGTTTAATGAGTCTATTTTTATTCTGCATTACAAGAGAATAGCAACCACATGCTCTGCTTTCCATGGCTCTGCCCAAAGGGTGTAAGTTGCTACTGCAGTTATTTGCACTTGCAAAATGACATGAGCAATTCATCCGAAGTTGCACCTACAGAATTGGAAATGGCTGTTAAAGTCAGACCAAACTTAATGGACTGTTTCCACTGTTTATCAACTTTGTGATAAACACAAGTTTGAAGACCCTTTAAAATAACTTGTTTATGCCTATAGTTAATTAATTTAGGCCACTAAAATAAGAAGTGCAACGAAGGAAAGAATACTCTGCCATTCTGCAGTTACTCTAAGGCCAGAGGTGAATAGAGGTGCTTCGAGGAATGCTGCAGCTTCTTTCTGCACTAAGTCTGCTCCTTGTCTGCCTTCCCTCCCAGCTATTCGACCGAGAGCTGTGTATCCAGCAGCTGCGCTATTCCGGGATGATGGAGACCATTCGGATCAGGAAAGCTGGCTACCCAGTTCGCTACAGCTTTGAGGAGTTCTTTGAGAGATACAGAGTTCTCCTGCCAGGCTCTGCTCGAGAACAGGTACGTGAGAGCAAACTTGGGTTAAGGCTAATTTAACTTCTCCTTATCAGGCTTTAGTCATAGCCACAGCAGAAATCCACTCTTGGATTACTGCTGGCATAGAGCTGTCATCACAGTATCTGCAATTAAATACTCAAATCCTCACTTGGACCTTAGTGAGGGCAGTGGTTTTAGTGTTTTTAGGTCTGCACTTCCCCCCAGCCATTTCTGTTCTTTGCCGTTTGAAATGTCAGGCAGTAGATCTTTACCTAGTAAAGCTGTTGTGTTTCCAAATAAGCCCTAATGTGGTTGTGATTTTGCACAGCAGCTGAAGAATGATGCTCGCAAGTGCTGCATCAGCATCTCCGAAGCGGTGCTGGGCAAGGATGAAGGCTGGCAAGTTGGAAAAAACAAGATTTTCCTTAAAGTAAGTAAGAAAGACAGTTTATAACCTCTTCTCCCGAAAAACTGGGTACTTCAGAGTAAAGCGTGACCTGCCTGTGAAAGATTGGTGACCCAGAAGGACTAGATTCTCTTATAAACTCTCTCTTGAATCTGAAGTAAGTAAATTGGTGGCTATTAGCTTGGTTCAGGAGAGGCTGATCCTCATCATGTGCTCCATGGTGCAGCTGAAGCTGTCCAAGACAATGCTCAAGCTCTGGAGCATAAGGAACTGTTGCAGGGACTTCCTTGCCCTTAGCTCCTGGTAAGGCCAGTCTTACTGTAGGCACTGTGTGCTTGTTCGTGGCTGCAGCGAGGCACAGTGCATCCAGCTGTGCACCACCTTCCTAATGCAGTCCCATGGATGCATTTCAATCCCAGCTTGCACAGTCTCATGCTGAGTCTGGGCCTCTTTCAGAACATATGTCTGGTTTTCAGAACTTGTGAGGGTTTCTGTTCTATTAACGCATCCATATTTTCCTTTAACAGGATTATCATGATACAGTACTAGAGCTGCAACGACACAAGGTACTCACAGATAAGGTGCTTCTTATCCAGAAGGTGATGAGAGGAGTCAAGGACAGGTCAGTGACATTAAAGAAGAAAATTTGCTTCAATTTGAAGCATTAATATTTGTGTTTTAACATCTACATAAAGCATTTTCAAATATAAAGTGTATCACTCCTTGCCTTTTATTAGCCCTAAATTCACTTCTCATCATGTTAAAACACACAGTATATCTAGACAGATTTTGCACAAAGATTTGCGCGCTCTCAGTTTCTTCTCTTGTAGACAGTAGACAGGGCTGAGACCAGAGCACAGACAAACCATGGGAAAAAAAAAAAAAAAAGCAACCACTTCTTTGCTCTCTCAATTCCTCATAAGAAGCAGCAGAAATAACCTACTGCTTGTCACCTCACCTGTCTGTTTGCTTAGGAAGCTGTTTCTGAAACAGAGGAAATCTGCTATAGCCATTCAGACAGCCTGGCGAGGCTACTGCTGCCGGAAGGATTTCAGAATGGTAAGAGACAAGCAAATATGTATTTATATACTATGCTTTACAGCGTTGAGTTGAGAATTGGGAACTAACACACTCAAAACTGAAGGGGAGAGAGGCAAAATGGCAGGGTGTAAAGAAGGGATTTGTTAGGTCCGAAGAGGGTCCTGAGCCACCTCCCGGCTCCCTGCACC